TTTCCGTCATTCTTTTGTCAGTTACTTCCAGCAGTTCCAGTTAGACTCTGCATGGGAAACACTGAGAAGAAATTGACAGGTGAAATGAGGGGACATGGAGTTTCCTTCCTTTTCTGGCTCTGGTTAGCATGTCTCCAGCAGCAAAACCCAGTTATACTTCTATCCTCTGGATTCTTTTGGCACTTTCCAAGCCACATGCATTGCACTGCCTCTGATAACTAGCACCATTTGGCTGTATCTCCTGACTCAGTGAACCCAGTACCATTTGAGCCAGATTCCCCTCAGAGGTCTGAAAACCAGTCACAGTGCATTTTAGAAGACTGAGTTCCAGCCAGATGGTCCTAACCTCTCTGTCCTGCCAGATGTATGAGCAACAGTTATGCCGGCCATCTATGAACTCCTAGGTCTATGAACCCTAAAGATTTTATTCTCTCAAATCTAGGAGTGATGGAAGTATCTCCCAACCCCCACAAATGCTCATATAGCCAATTTTCAGTATTAAGTCCTCTCTGTTTGAAAGACTGAGTGTAGTTTCTGTGTCCTTTATTGAATCTTGAGTGATAGAGTTTAACTTTTTCAGCTTTTATAGTAGAAAGCTGGTTTTACCTCATATAAAGACTTTCAGGACACCTGGGTGGCTCAGTTGGTTAAGCATCTGTCTTCAGCTCAGGTTATGATCTCAGGGTCCTGGGATTGAGCCCTGCATTGGGCTTCCTGCTCACTGAGGAGTCTACTTCTCCTTCTCCCTCTGCCCCTCGCCCTGCTTGTGCTCTTTCTGTCTCTCTCTCAAATAATTAAATAAAATCTTTAAAAGAAAGACTCCTGGTAGAGACTTCTTCAATTGTTAGAGGGAAGGGGGTGTGGGCTAGCCCAGTGATGGGTATTAAGGAAGGCATGTATTGCATGGAACACTGGGTGTTATATGCAAACAATGAATCATGGAACACTACATCAAAAACTAATGATGAGACATGGGGGGTTTGGGGGGTAGGAAAAGAATAAATGAAACAAGATGGGATCTGGAGGGAGATAAACCATAAGTGAATCTTAATCTCACAAAACAAACTGAGGGTTGTTAGGAGGAGGGGCGTCGGGAGAGGGGGGTGGGTTTATGGACATTGGGGAGGGTATGTGCTATGGTGAGTGCTGTGAAGTGTGTAAACATGGCGATTCACAGACCTGTACCCCTGGGGATAAAAATACATTATATGTTTATAAAAAATAAAAAAAATTAAATTAAAATTTTAAAAAAGTTTAAAAAAAAACAAAAAAACTAATGATGTACTGTATGGTGACTAACATAACATTTAAAAAAAAAGAGAATGGAATATTGACAAAACAACTGACAAATAGCCACCATATCCATTCTGATTTCCAACTAGGCTGTATAATCTGTCAACACCTTGCTACCCTTCAAACCTGGATTTTGTCTCCAGTTTGTTATTGATTTTCTATGTGATCTTGGATGAGTCTATTTCCTACTAGAAGCTTCCATTTGTACATGGGTTTTTAAAAAGGAGGGTGAAAAAAAAAGGAGGGTGACTGGGGCTGTGGAACTCAATGTTCCCTGAGTTTCAGAACCATCTCTAGCTTCCTCTAGGCATTTCTGGCTCTGGAGAAAGCTTCAAGGAGAGAATAAGAAGGAGAGGGAAGATGAGGAGTTCTGGATCTGTATGACACCCTGAGTAACACTTGAAGATTTCACTTGAGGTGTCCTCTGGGTTCTAATGGGCAGAGCAATGAGCAAATTGTTAACAAAGAAAAACATCTCCACTAAAGTCCTTATAAGGCAGAGGGTTCTCTGTGCTCAGCCCTTAGGGTTCTGAGTTCATTCCTGAGGACAGCAGGTAAGCAGAATCTATAAACTTCAAGGAACATTCTGACCATTTCCAAGGACCACTCTGATCCATTGCCCTCTAGGACAGAATGATTTTGTTCCAGTCATTCATGTATGTCAACATTAATCAAGGACTGAAAGGTACTAATGGGACAGAGAAGCATCAGGTGCTTATTAGATTTGGCTGGGTTCCTGAGCTGCCATAGTTCCTCAAGTTGAGAAGGACTCCTTGATATTATTAACCCATCACCTTCATCATATGAATAGGAGACTGAGGTCCTGAGAGAAGCATCCCTCCCCCCTACCCTGTGCCAACCAGGTCATACTCCGACAAAGGGAAAAGTTGGGATTTGTATTTGGATATTTTTACTCCCAGATAAGTGCTCTTCCCACTTCCCCCTTCTCACAGGATGCAGATCAGTGATCACTTGTTGCAAATTTGGTCTAGATCATAAAGATGCACAAAGACAGGCTTCCTGGGAGAACAGACTAACTCTTACAGATATGTGGAGGCAAAAGCCAAGTAAATGAAGGTGATGCAAACCTGAGGCCCGCTTGGCTTGATGGTCACTCTGCAAAACTGCCAGACTAGCAGGACTTCGGGGTCTTCTGCACAACCTTTCCCTGATCTTCCCCACATTTAATGATTCTAATACTTTCTCCTGATCTCCTCCTATACAAGGAGCAGACATCAATAGACTTCGTAAGCCTTTATTATTTTTTTCCCCACTGATGGATTGGCCCTTAAATATCATGCAATTCACAGGTTTTGGAACTTTAAAAGCAGTTGGCTGTACTTGTTAAAAAATGCATATATGGGATCTGGAGGACCCATCTTTAATTTTTATTTTGTTGTTGTTTTGTTCTTATTTCATAATCATATTAACTCTGAAATCCCACTAGACTTGGAAGGAAGTAAAGAAAACATGGAATGCATAGAACTGCAAGAGCACAACAATTATTGGACATTTCAAGCAGTTGGGGGTGAGGGGGTGCTCTCCTGAGCTACAGAAGGAATGGTCTGGTAGTTAAGATAAAACACAAGTCAAATGTATTAGATTTGTTAACAGTCAGCCATGGTGACCTTCTTGCTGGTCTTCCCATTCCTGAACCCAAAGTGCTCCATGGGTCCCATAATATTCATGCCCTCTTTTACCTTGCTAAAGACCACATGCTTTCATCCAGCCTCTCGGTCTTGGCAGTGCAGTTGAAAAACTGGGAACAGTTTGCGTTGGGTCCAGCATTTGCCATGGACAAGATGCCAGGACCCATGTGCTTCAAGATGAAAAATTTTTAAAAAGATTTTATTTATTTATTTGAGAGAGAGAGAGAGAGAGGTCACAGGTAGGCAGAGAGGCAGGCAGAGAGAGAGGGGGAAGCAGGCTCCCCACTGAGCAGAGAGCCTGATGTGGGCCTCGATCCCAGAACCCTGAGATCATGACCTGAGCTGAAGGCAGAGGCTTAACCCACTGAGCCACCCAGGCACAAGACGAAGCCACCCAGGCACCAAGACGAAATTTTCATCAGCAAATTTCTCCCCATAGATGGACTGGTCACCAGTGCCATTATAGCAACCGATGTCACCACACTGGCACATAAATCCTGGAATAATCCTATGAGATCAGGAATCTTTATAACCAAATCCTTTCACCCCAGTGCTCAGAGCACTAAAGTTATCTGCTGTCTTTGGAACTCTGTCTGCAAACAGCTGGAAGGAGACCAAGGGCTCACCATCCATAGCCATGTTGAAAAACATGGTGAGGTTGACTGTAGATGGGTGACACAGCCTGCTCTGGGGCAGCGGCATCTGCAGTTCCTTGAGGACCTCTATTTTAGATAGCACTTCCCCACCCCCAAGTAATTCTAAAGTAGTATTTGCTAACAGCATTTTCAGAAATACTCATCAGTTTAACCAGCCTTTTTAAAAAAGAGATAAACAGGGGTGCCTGGGTGGCTCAGTGGGTTAAAGCCTCTGCCTTCAGCTCAGGTCATGATCTCAGGGTCCTGGGATCAAACCCAGTATCGGGCTCTCTGCTCAGCGGGGAGCCCGCTTCTCCCTCTCCCTCCGCCTGCCTCTCTGCCTACTTGTGATCTCTGTCTGTCAAATAAATAAACAAAATCTTTAAAAAAAAATAAAAGAGAGATAAACAGAGAGGTGGAGAGGAAAGGAATTATTCAATAGTAAGTGGATCCCAGACTCTCTTTAGAGCCTCCTGATTCAAGTTATACCAGACAATGAACTCATTTGAAAGATACATCCAGGTTTTGGTGTGTTGTGGTGGCCAAGCCTCCTGCTGTGGGGCTGCCTCTTTAAGCCTGGCACCTTCTTATCTTGCCTAGTCCTTTGGAGACTCCTTCTTACCTTCCCCTTGACTTCTCTATGCCTTTCCTCTCCTCCATCCCTCCCCTCCTTGCCTCTCCTCTTCCTTTCACTTCCTTCCCATCTCTTCCAATTACCTACCTATCGCTGTGAATAAAATTTCCCAGAACATTTTCTATTTCTCACCGTTTTATGGGTGAGCAGTTTGGGAGGGAATGAGCTCAGTGGTTCTCTCCTGGGGTCTTCACCAGGTTGCAGTCAGATGTCTGCTGGAGCCATAGTCATCTGAAGCTCCATGGGGTTGGAAGCTCATTCATGTGACTGGGAACAGACCTTGGCTCTCAGGTGTGTCTTGTCTGGGCTGTCAACCAGAGCACATGCTTGGGCCTCCCCAGCATGGTTGTCTCAGGGCAACTGGCCCTCTTACATGGCAACTGCCTCATACACCCCCCAAAACAAGCATCATAAGAGGGTGGAGTGCACTTTTTCTGGCTTAACCTTGGAAGTCACACAGCATCATCTGTTTTTACTCTACCAGTCAAAGCAGTCCCACAGTTTGCCAAGATTCAAAGGGAGGGCCTGTGGACTCCAAGGCTTCTACCACTAGGCTGAAGGGAGTGAAATAATTGTAGGTCCCTGCTTTAAAACTGTGCCATCATTCAGTATCTTTTTCTCCTCCAACTCTCTCTCTTCTCCCTTCCTCTGCATCTCTTTGCTGACCCATCTCCTCCTTTCATGTCTCTTCCACAGTTATCTTCTATTTTGTACTGTCTGTGCTGGACACTGGAAGTGTATCCTTTATTGAAAGTCCAGGAAACAAACCCACAGCCTTTTCAGAGATGTATCTCCCATGAAGTTAATGGAGCTCAAGTCTCATTTTCCCTCACCCGAGCAAGCTTGGTTCCATTCTAAGCATTCCGTGACAATTTTACACAGGCCAGAGCATCATCAGAATTCCCAATTTGTAGGATTTCCATACTCTTCTCTTTCTTTTGGTGTCACTGGAAGACCCAGTGATTGCTTGTTCTGCAAACACTGCACAGAGGGAATAGATGTGAATTATTCATTCTCAGAAACATCAGACCTACAGAACACTTTATTAGGGAAACTGGAGGCTTCTGAAGCATACACAGGTACCATAAGAGTGAAGAGATAGGATCAAACACTGAGAAAGTGTTAAAGGGTGAAGGGCATTGTGTTTGAAGAGAAGCTGAGCTGGAGGAAAGGGAGTAAGCAAATCCTGGGGTTTGGTTTTTGCAACAGTCAATGTCTTGGTAGCTGTGATGAAGCATCAGTCAGGCACACATGGAGAGAGCCCTGAATTATGAGCCAAATTCTGGAGGTTGTTCCAGTTCTCTTTATACTGAGGGAGATGGTGACTCTGCAAGACAGCAGAATAGAAAAGGATGAGATGCTTGGGCCCTACTCATACAAGAACCAAATCTTATAATTAATGGAACAAAGGAGATGGGGTCATTTTTATATCTTTTCACAGAAGAGAAACCAGAAGTGGAATGATTTGGGGGGCTCATAGTGTGCTGGTGTGCTCTGGGCTTTTCAGTCAAGTCCCAGTTTAAACCTGTTGTCCCAGTGTAATAATTAGTGGTATCTCCTTTCACTCTCAAAACTTTCTCAGTTTGCTCAATAAAGCATGTGGTTGTCCTGGCTTTAAGCACCTTAAAAAGAAAAATGAAGAGATTGAATGATGAGTGCATGGTGCCCAGCACTGGACTGGTTCACTGGGCCTTCTTCTGACATAGTCTTGGACACTCAACCCCTTCTGTTTCCTCGTTCTGCACCCACTGTCCATCTCATACTTGCCAACTTCCCTTTGACTACTGCTCCTCTTCACACTTTCTCTTTCCCAAAGCATCCCCTATTTGCCCCTCAGAGATGACTGGTTCTACCAACCCCAGGCCTGCCAGCTTCCTGGAATGGGTCAACCAACACCCAGACCTCCCACCTGTGCAGGTGAGCATGGGAGATGGGACCCCTGAGACTTACACGCTTCTGAACAGACGGCCCTGCAGGCTGCTTCAGATTGGAAGTTGTTATTGTTCCCAGTGCAACCACCATAGTTGAAACTGGTGCAGGTTTTGATTTCCTTATTGTACCACCAGCGTGGAATGCTCGCCAGGCAGAGGCCAATACTCACTGGCAAACTGCATATGTCTGCAAGGAGATGGCAGAGCAGTATTGCTTGGGTGCCTGCCTTGCTAGAGAATATTCTGCAAAGACTTGGAAGAATGAAAGAGCATAATATTTTTAGGGCAGCATGAACTTGCTAAAAAGATATTATGCTGTTATACTTCTCTATGCTTTTGCACATGCATAATGTCCACCCCTCTCTTGCTTACTAGGTGTACTCCTACTTTATCCCTCAAAACACTCCACACATCAAACTCTTCTATGATGTCTCTCCTGGCTCCATTCTTCACTGTTTGCTTTTTTTTTTTTTTTTTTTTGCTTTTCAATCTTGCCCACACATTGATCACTTCCACATAATTATTTGTTCATATTTGTTTTACACCTCCATCAGAAAGTGAGGTTTGCACATTATGTCATCTTGGTACACCTGTTCCTAGCAGATAATCTGGCACTGAGAGGATGCTTCAGGAATTTTCACAGTACAAAATCAAACATATCCTGAACTTCAAGAGATACTTAATGGGCAACCGTTTTGTGCATAGTACTATGAGGTACAAATAGAGTTGTTTAGGACCTCATAGTCTGAAGCACAACAATGATACCATTTATGAAAGTTCTTAGCACTTGACATATATATTGACATATAGCCTGAGGAGCTAGGTCCTTTTATTGTCCTCATTTTGCAGATGATAGTTCAGAAGTTCAGAGAGGCTAAGTAACTTCCTCAGGTCACATAGGTGGCAAGGGATTTGATTTGAACTTAGATATTATGTTGCTCTTAGGATCAAGACCAGACCCCTTAATCCGGCCAGCAAGACCCTGCCTTGTCAGATCCTTGCCTATCTAACATGGCCTCACCATCCTGATATTTCTCTCTCTTACACAGGCATGCTCACTCTCTGGTCTCTGGAATTACTAGGCCTGAGCATGCTGTCCCCTCACACAGGGCCTTTGCACACGCTATTAGTTGTGCCTGGAAAGCTCTTCCCTCCAATTTTTGTCTACTTACTGCCCATCTTTCAGATCTTAAATCATAGATCTTTTTCCTGAGAAAACCTTTCTTGCCCCTCTGTCCTATAATAAGCAAGCGGAGCCCATCATGTATATAAGGGACACCAGTAAATATTTGTTGAATGAATGAATGAATGAATGGTCTTTGATCGTCCTCTTTAGAGTTTAAGCATACGAGCACAAAGGAAAGTGTGGAAGAGGTAAAAAATGGTTAGGGAAGGCATCCTGGATATATATGACAGAGAAGCCTGCGGGGCTTCTCTGGAAGGAACTATAAATCGTATACCTGTTTCTTATAGCTATCATATCACCTGACACCATGCTGGCATTTGATGGGACCTCAGTGGGAACTTGGCACCTCAGAGGATCACAGAATAGGCCAGAAAACTTGTGGTCTAATGCCTGCTTCTTTCTTACAAATGGGAAAACTAAAGTCCATAAAGCAAAAACTCTTACACACATCATATACCTGAGTAGGGACAGAAATGAAATAAACCCCACTCTGTTCAATGCTTCTAGGATTTGGGTCAAGTAGAAGATGCGCCCAGATTCTTGGTCATAGACCAGCCATCAGGGAACCAGGGGAGAGGTCTGACACTGCCAGTGCTGATGGGCAGAGAGTAGGGGTCAGCAGGGAGGACACTGGATAGTTCAGGGGCTTTGTGTGTTACCTTCCTTGAGATCTAAACATTTCTTTGCACAGTTAAAACTGCAACACGTCATCTTCTTGGGGCATGGTTTCTTCTTCCCGCACTGGTCGATTTCTCTGTAATTGCATGGTACCCTGATTTGGGGACACCTCTCTGTGGGAGGGGAAAAAGGAAAAAGGAAGGCCAGAACCCTCCATGGTCAGACCCAGGGCACTACTGCAGAGTTAAGGAAGACTTAGTAACCTTCAGATGACTCCAGATTTTCAAAACACTGGCCCCACTCCCAACCCTGTAATGACTGCCCATCTAGTTCCTAAACAAGTCCTACTCCCACCCCCACCACTCATGAGGTTTCAGGGAAAAAGATGCTGTCCGCTAGGACTACTCTGGTCACTTGGCCTTCCTGTATTGGATGTTTCCTGGGTGGGGGCGAGGGTGCTAGCACTTTTCCAGGTGACTGAGATTTCCATTTGTGGAGTCAGATGGCTGGGCTTTTGAATTTCTGTGCCACCCTTGGAATGGCAGGCACCATCTTTGGACCTTGATTCCTTCACTATAGAATTGTTTCAAGGATTAGGTGACAAATCTTGGAAGCCATTGTCAGGCGGCCTGGGACACAATAATGATAATTAATATTAAGAGGTGCTTCCTGTGCTCTTGTTCTCTTCTCCGGGATCCTTGTGGCATTTCTATTGGTGAGTCCTATCAATATCCACATTTTAAGGTGCCTCCTTAGCGCAGTAGGCAGCACGTCAGTCTCATAATATCCACATTTTATAAACAGAGGAATCTGGAGCACAGGGTGGTTATGTGAACTTCTCCAAGGTCACACAGCTACTACTAAGGAGAGGAGCCGGGATTTGAAACCTACAATGTATGGCTTCACTGTTGAGTGCTCAGTGTATTTTTAGCTGCTGCTTAAGGGTGTCTGCATATCTCAGCATTCCAAGGGACTTCAAGGGACCATTTTATAATCCACAGGCAAGGACCCTCTGGTGGTGTGAGTGTGGGGAGACTTTTGGGGGCTGCAACTGGAAGATTCAAAGCTGCTAAGGGTGGAGCTAGGGTGAAGGAGCTTTCTTTCAGGAAAGACCCAGAAGGTCCCAGTAACACCTTTAGTCCATCTCATAAGCTCCAGGTCCAGGCACCTCCAGAAGGTATCCCTCTCATAATGATAGTGGGCTGTCTGTTGCTAGAGACCCAGGCTCTTGCACTCACAGAAGGCATCTTAGAAGATGGTAGGGCTCTGAGAGAAAAAGACTGTGAATATCTCCCTTTCTCCCATCTAAAACCTCAGGCTGAGTGGGGGAGGTGTTCCTCATCCTTAGAACTTTTTGTTCCTCCCTCCCAGCAAGTTCCATATCTCCACTGGGAGGCCCTAGTCCCCAGTACTTACTGCCAAAGAACCCCTCAATGAGCTCAGGTTCCTGGACTCCCCCCAAGAGGATGAAGAGTGCCAGGACTGGCAGAAGTCCCAAGAGCCCCATTTTAAGAGCTACTGGCCTGGCTGGTGGCGCCAAAATTAGGAACTGCTCCCAGTAGCTCCTGCTTCTGAGCTTTGGCTGCCCTGGCCCTGGAGCCACATATCACTGAAGACAAGACAGCCACACTCCCTCTGCTGGGGAATGCCAAGTCCCTGAGGCCATCAGTGGGAGTAGCTGACACCCACAGCCCCGACACTGGGGGAAAGGGTCCTTCACAGGCAGCTTCTATTTCTCAGCTCGCTGAGGTTCTCTGACTCTCTGGTCAGCCAGGGAGAGGGGGCAAAGCTTGTCTGGGACTTCTAGACTCCCTCAGAGAAGGGGGTGTTCAATTTCAGCATCTTCCATCATCCAGGGGGAGTTTAGAGTCAAGAATATCCCAGTTCTCTTCTTTCCAATCTTATACTTCTCCTGACATATCTATTTGTCTGTCCGCTTGTTTTTCTCACACTGTTTATTTTCCTTCTCTCTGTGCCTCCTCCTTTCACCCTGTGCCAGCCTTTTTCTCTTTTCTTGTGAGTCTCTATCTGGGTCTCTTTCTCCCTACCTTTCATTTCCCTTCTGTTCTTCTCCTTTTTCATCTCTTTGAACCACTCCTTTTCCTTAACCATCATCAAAAAGTAAAGATATTACCCTGAGTAGCATGTGGTCTGGAGGAGCCAGGTTGATCCCAGGTTGAACCAAATCTTCAGAGAGTGTGTGTCAAGATCATGGTGCTTTGAAAGCAGGAGAGGATGCCAGAGCTAATGGGAAGCCTCTATCGTTGGGTGCAATTTGGAATGGGTGATGCAGGAGGAAATACTAAATATTAGTTATGACCTCAGAAGCAGCAGCCATGGGGCATGAAGATTCTTCCCTGAACTTTCCAACTTAGGGTGTGAAGTGTTAATAAGACATGTTCTTGTCTTGCCTCTAATTTCGCTTGCAGCTGTAGGAGAGAGATCTAGTGCACATTTTTTTTCTAATTGTTTTAAAAAATGAAGTGGAATTAACATCAGATAAGGTGAACCATTTTTAAGTGGACAGATCAGAGGTTTTTAAGTGCCTACACAATGTTGTGTGACCACCACCTCTATTAGTTCCACAGTATTTTTATCACTCCAGAAGAAAACCTTAAGGGCACCTGACTCTCTCAGTTAGAAGACCACATGACTCCTGATCTCAGAAGCTCTAGCTCCACCTCTGGTGTAGAGATTACTTAAAGAAACAAAACGAAAGAAGAAAGAAAGAAAGAAAGAAAGAAAGAAAGAAAGAAAGAAAGAAAGAAAGAAAGAAAGAAAGAAAGAAAGAGGGAGGGAGGGAGGGAGGGAGGGAGGGAGGGAGGGAGGGAAAGAAAGAAAGAAAGAAAGAAAGAAAGAAAGAAAGAAAGAAAGAAAGAAAGAAAGGAAGGAAGGAAGAAAAAAGAAAAAAAGATAACCTCTACCTACTAGCAGTCACTATTTTCCCCAGCCTAATCCTCCTGCCCTGGCAACCAGTAACCTACATTCTATTTCTGTGGATCTTCCTATTCTGGATGTTCTATAAATGGAATCACACAGTATAGGACATCTTGTGTCTGGCTTTTTCTGCATCACTTGATGCTTTGGAGGTCCGTCTGCAGTGTAGCTTGTGTTAGTTTTTGACTCCTTATTGTGGCCAGTGTACCGTGATAGCGTCCCATCTCAAGTGTCAGAGTCTCTACTTCTGTGCTATAGGACTGCTCTGGCTCCCTGACAGCTTGTCAGCTTGTGTGGGGAACAATCTGGAGGAGGAAGAACTTTCATAGGCCCAGGCATCCAGGAAGGGATGGGAATTAAGGCGTAAATGCCTCCACTGCCTCATCACTGGAGATGAATGCAGACATCTGGACACATATTTTACAGGACTCCTTAGAAGGTCCCCAGGGGCAGTAAGCTGCAATTTGCCCCCATGGTAACCAGCTCATAATTGACTCCTCTCTTGTCTGTATCACCTACCTCACCCTACCTTATGTGTGTTGAGAGATCTCCCAAGTAAAGTCCTCTACCCATGTCCTTGTCCTAGGATTGGTTTCTGGGGTCTCCAAAATAAGGAAATGCCCATAGACCCTTGTCTTAAAAGGGTCCTGCAATTTTTTGGAGAAACAGAGGAGGATCACAATGTTCCTGGAGCTCCGAACTCTCAAGGTTCTGACAGTTTTCACTCCCTTTGTTGGTGTCACAAAAGCTTCAATGAACCTTTACTCTCTGCAAAGTGTAATGTACCAACTGATATGAATTGTTCAGCCACAGAGGCATAGGACTAAACAGCGTACTTTATTGGGGAAAACTGGGAGATATGCAGGTATAGACAGGGGCTTCTAGACATTGGACATATAGGAAAGAAGCATAGGGACGGAGTTAAAAAAAATGGAACCATGTGTGAAAAGACGCTGAGGTAGAGAAAGGGGAATACAGATCCCAGAACTCTGCCTGGAGAAGAGCTGAGCCCTTGGAATGTGGAATTGAAGAGTGGAAGCCAATATGGAGCATCGGTCAGGAGCACGGACAGAGCCTTGGATCACGAGCCAACTCCTGGTGGTTGTTCAGGTGCATCCTTATGCACTGATGATTTGGAGCCTGTTGAGAATGTAGGACAAGACCTGCTAAGCATCTTGGATGCAGCTTATCTTCAGAGTGAGTCCTGAAGTGACATTCATGCATCTTAGCACAGGAGGTGAAAACAAAGTGGGTCTTCTCTGGGGAGCTATAGCTTTCGTCCTTATAGGAGAACAGAGCTGTGGTCGAGATAGAGTGCTGACGATCCAGTCCTAGGCTGGATGTCCTGTGACCTCTCTGGAGCTGGTCTCTGGGATTTCACCGTGTCTGCATCCTCCCTCCACCCCTCATACTTGCCAACTTTGATCATGGCCACGTCCTTCCCAACCTCAGTTCCCAGAATACCACTGTCCATCCCTCTGCCAGGTGCATGCTCATCTCTAAGTGGAGTTGGCTCTGTCAGCACCTGCCTTGTCAAGGCTATGGCCCATGCCTGAACAAAGCAGCTGCACACAGGCCTGTCGGAAGGGCCCGAGTGAGGACAGGATGCCCCAGGTACTCGACTCACGGTTGCTGGGGCACATGTTCTGGCACATGGCTTCGGACTGAAAGTTGTTGTTGTTCCCTTGGCAGCCGCCATAGATGAACTTGGAGCAGGTATTCTTCTCCTTATCGTACCACCAACGGTGGAAAAATGCCATACAGGGGCCAGGTTCTTTGGGCATAGAGCATATATCTGTAGGGAGACACCAGACTTGAGCAATATGAGTGCCCAGCCCCATGTATATTGTTACCCCTGCAAACCACCAGACATGGAACAGAGCAGGCTTCTTTCCCCTTATTACACCTCAGGAGCCCAGCTCCACTGGTGTATGGTACACATTGTAGGGAGACCCCAGAGTGGAGCTGTTGGGGGTTCTGCAGTCCCAGAGAACATCCCCCCCGCCCCATTCCTCATGGTCACCATCCCCATTGTCTTCCCTGAGAGTGAGGAGACTTATTTCAAGGCTCTACTCCCAATTCAGTGTGTGCACGTCGACCTCCCCTGTGACCTGTCTTGGCCTTGACTTGCTCTTCTGGAAAATGAGAATGCAACTCCCACCCTGCAAAGTACAAGTAAGACTGCCCTCATGGACCTGAATGTGCAGCTTCTAGCACAGTGCCTGGCAAAGAGTAGCTGTTCAGTAAATACATGCTGAATGGATAAAAGATATGGAAGTGTCTTGAAAAGGACAAAATATAAGCACATACTCTGCCCTGCAAATCATGCCAGGAAGAGAGATTATGGGATCATGAGTAAAGCAGGGGCTGTTTTTAAGATGGTCAAGCACCTTTCATCCTGCAGTTAGCTTCAGTCCTGTGATGGGTTGGATTGTGTTCTGCCCCACCCACTCCATGCCCATTCATATGTTGAAGTCTTAACATTCAGTACTTCAGAATGTGACCCTACTTGGAAACAGAGTTGTGGCAGATGTAATTAGTTAAGATAAGTCATTCTGGAGGAGGATGCATTCTTAACCCAACATGATCAGTCTTTTTATAGAAAGGGGAACTTTGCGCGCGCGCACGTACACACACACACACACACACACACACACACACACACACCACCATGTTCAGCTGAAGGCAGAGGTCTATAAGCCTGGGACTGCCAAAGATTGCCAGCACACCACCACGAGTTAGGGGAGAGGCATGGAACAGATGCTCTCCTGATAACCTGCGAAAGACCCTGCCTTGCCAATGCTTGACCTTGGACTTGTATCCTGCAGACCCTGAGACAATACATTTCTGCTGTTTCAGCCATCTAGCTTGTGGTCCTTTGTTACAGCAACCTTAGCAAATGAATGCAGATCTGAACTAAACTCAAGAGTTCCTCGAGGGAAAACTCCTGGCTCACTTCTCTGCCACTCTCTTTCATCTTCCATGTCTCATACCTGGGCTGTTGGGATAGCCAGGAACTGATCTCCTGCCCCTGTCCCTAGCCCCTCCAATCAATCCTTGTGCAGACCACCAGGGGGAAGGACCTAATGAACCTGAAACAAAGCTGATCACGTCATTCCACAGCTAAGACCTTGACTTCATGGCAAGTCTTCCCATGACTCACAGGCTCTTTGTAGTCTGACTCCTGCTTGTGGATCTGCTCCACCCGCTCCACAGTACCACTTGAGGTACATGCTCCTGCAATATTCAACACCCTTTGCTATCCCACACACCTACACCTTTCACTGTATATTCCTTCTGCCCACCCTGCTGCTGTTCGTTAGCGGCACTCCCACTCTCTCTTCAAAACCTCAGACATCAGTTCCTCTGTGATATCACTGCCTCCATATGCACCCCACACCCCCACAGGTTCCTGGACCAATCCTGCATTGTTCCACCATGTTTCTGATCTCATGTACATGATTGTTACTGGTTTACATCCTTGGTCTCCCCATGAGGTTGTGAGCTTCCAAGGGGGCATAGATTGTGTCTGATTTCATCTTGGAGCCCCATTCCTAGTAGGTGGTCTGATTCAGTAGAGGATCTTGCAGAATGTTGAGGGTAAAACCAAATGCATCCTGACCTGAACTAAATAAGCCATTCATTGAGCACCTACTGTGTGCAAGATGCTTTAAGAGACAAAGAAAAGGGGTGGAGCTTTTTAGGATCTCCCAGTCAAGAATAATAATTAATATCATTTGATCTCTCTGATACGAGGAATTTGAAAGGTTGGGCAGGGGGTTGTAGGGGGTAGGGAGGGAAAAAAATGAAACAAGATGGGATTGGAAGGGAGAAAGACCATAAAAGACTCTTAATCTCACAAAACAAGCTAAGGGTTGTTGAGGGGTAGGGGGTAGGGATAGATAGGGTGGCTGGGTTATGGACATTGAGGAGGGTATGTGCTACGGTGAGTGCTGTGAAATGTGGAAGCCCGATGATTCACTGACCTGTATCCCTGGGGCAAATAATACATTATATGTTAATAAATAAAGAAAATAATGGAAAAAAAGAATAACAATTAATTTAAACTAATATGTGTCATCTGTCTATATTTTGCCAGGCATTGCTCTAAGTACTTCATGCACATCAACCTACCTGATCCTCCAGATAACCTTTAACACTGGTCCTTTCATTATCTGGAGAAACTGAGGAACAGTGGGGGAGAATTGTTAATTTGTCCAGGCTGTTAAAAAACCAGAGCTAAGACTTGAGCTCAGGAAGCATGGATTCAGAATCCCTCACCTTAGCAAAAGAACAACTTACCAACCTCCTAGCCATGCTGCTCCATTGTCAAGTCCTGCTTGCTTTACTTCCTCGACATCTTTCAAACACACCCCACTCCTCTCCATCCCCTCACCTACCTCTCTGGTCCAAGCTACCATATCATCTCTTCCTGAATTCCTTGAAGATACTCTGTTCCTCCTCTGTGTGTGCATTTAAAAACCCAATTACGTTGCTGTCCACCTCAGTTGGTTTCCACCCCTCTTGAGATCAAAGTGAGTTGCTAGCCCACCAGACCCTACCTACCTAAGATCTTTTCCCTGGTACCATGCTTATATGTACTCTTGCTCCCTGGCCTCCAGGACCCACCATTGAGCTTTTGTGCATGTTTTTCCTGTACCTGCAAAAGCCCTCCCACTGACTCTATGCCTAAATTTACTACCCATCCTTCTGAACAGGACTCCAGATTTGCTTTCTCAGGGAAGTCTTCCTCACTTCCCTGACCATGCTGGTCTAATCTTATTATGAGTCTCAGAGACACTAGATGCATATTTGTTAATTGAAGAGCAAAGAGAGTCTTTACTCCAAATAGTCTATGATTGTCTATTTGGAACCCAAGGATATGACCATGGAGTTAAGATTTGAAGGAGCAAAGGAAAAGCCTTCTGGTCTGGAGTAGTCAAGGGAGGTTTCCTGGTGCTGAGTTGGACTTCAATAAGCAGAGAAGTGGCCCCTCTGCTGCAAAAAGCTGGTAAATACCAGTAGCTTAGTTATCACTTCCAGCAACAATGTGCCAACAATAGCCATGAGGGGACTCAGAAAATCATGAATCCAAAGAAACAAAAAGAAAATCACAAGAGTTAAAAGCAACCACAAGATTGTCGGCTACCATCCTATAGTCATCTTCTGTTTGGGGAAACCAAAGCCCAGACAGGATGAAGATACTATCTAATGTCACACACATATATCAGGGGCAGTGACAGCTCTAAATTGCAGGTCTCCCCAACCCAGCAGTCTTGCTCAGGGACTGGTCCTTAATAAAGAAGGGGCAATGCTGCCACATAGCCAGAAGGTGAGCGCATGGGCAGAGGGGCTGGTAATTCTGAAGCTCTGAATACTACCTTGGTTGAGGTCTAAACATTTTCTTCCACAGCTGAAGATGCAACACTTCTTGTTGTCCAGACATTGTCTGTCCTTCTTACAGATATCCCTTTCTCTGAATTCACATTTCTCTCGGATTCTGGGGCATCTCCCTAGGAAAAGGACAGTTTTACAACCATGAATGTTGGAGGGCACAGTGCCCACTCTTCTCCCAACCTGAGGTAATTCTGGGGAGTTGGGGAAGCTTGCTTTCTCTTTGCTCATCCAAAGGAGACCTTTTCTTCAGGGTGTTCTCATGTATTTCCCAACACTGTCCACACTACTTTCCCTTCTGAACACCATTTACTCTCTACCTTCTCACCCCATCCCTTGTTCCACACTCTACCCTTACTCCCTCTAAGGCAGGATTTCTCAACCTTGCCACTAGGGCCTCATCATTACTTACGGGAGAGGAGGGCTGCCCTGGGCACTGTAGGATGTTGAGCAGCAGCCTGGCCCTCTTTCCACTGGATGCCAATAGCAGTCCCCAGTTAAAGAACCAAATATGTCTCCAGACAGAAAATGTACCCTGGAGGGGGAAATCACCCCACTGAAAGCCACTGGACCAGGTTAATCTGGTCATTTTTGGCCTGGTTGAGAAGTCAGTGTTTGGGAGTTCCTGGCAGGGGCAGGGAGAGTGGGCACTATTGCACATAATTAATATCCCTCACCTTGTCATCAGAGACTCAGGTATTTAAATTCTACCTCTTGGCTTACCACTCACCTTTCTGAACCTTGGTTTTTTTCACTTTTAAAATCATTTTAGCCTTACAGTCATTGAGGAAGAAATGAGACAAACTGTGTAAAGCTCTAATCATAGGAACTGATGCATAGCTATTTATTACTATTTGTCAACTGTTCCCATAAGCCAAGCACTTTTCTACACGTTAAATGCTATCTCATTGAGTTCTATTGACATCCCCATTTTGCAGAGGAGGAGACAGAAGCACATGGAGTTTAAGTAACTTGCCCAAGGTTATGGCTGCTGAGTGATGGAACTAGAATTCGGACCCACCATGTCTGAATCCAGATCTCTCAAACTCATTACTTTCTAAATGTTCAGTAAGTCGTAGCAATTATCATTATTTCTATGAAGTCATGGAGTATTACCGTCTTCAGTTCAAAGAAACTTCTGGATGCTGTCTTCTACCCCAAAGGCAAGGCACCCCTGGGGATGCAGAAATACTTTATAGGACTACATTTGAAAGAATCAGGAGTTGATAGAGATGATATCTTGAGAAAGGGGGCTGTTTCTGTTGTGAGATGAGGGGGAGGTCCCCTAGGCTTCTCAGATTCCTATAGCCCCTCCCATAAACACTGGATCCTGTGACTCTTCCCTCAACCCCCCCCAACTGACCTTCACTTCAAAGGGGCTGAAAATGAGGTTTGCCTCAGGTCTGCAATCTTGCATTAACTGAAGTGATCTTCCAAAAAGAGGGAAATTGGAAGAAATATTCCAAATATGTCCCAGCCTGGGTCCAGGGCTAAAATGGTGGGAAGCAACTCAAGTCTTATACTTTCTTTCTTCCTCCCAGCAAACTTCCCTCTCTCCAGGGTGAGGGCTGAGACCCCAGTACTTACTGGGAAAGATCCAGTCAGTGAGCCCAGGTCCCTGGACATTCACTAGAAGAGTAGAAAAGACCAGGATGCTGAAAAGTCTAGAGGACTCCATTCTGAAGAAGCGCTGGCCCCTCTGGTGATCCCAGAATATGAAAATGTCTATCTGCCTTTGTCCAGCCTATTCTTCAGTAGTCAGTATCTTGGATGTGAGAACTGGAGTCAAGCCAGCCACCTCCTTTCCTTCTGGGAACACCAAGTTCCTGAGATCATCACTGTGACCAGCTGGTATCTACAGCACACAGCCCTGGGGAAGGGTCTTTGATGGCCTGGCTCCTGAGCCTCAGCAGCCTGGGCTGGGGGTGGGGTGGGCTGGGCCTTCTGGTCAACCAGGGGGAGCAGGCAAAGCTTGTCTCAATTTCTAGGTGACCTTAGGTGTCAATGTCACCATCAGGGGTCTTCTTCTTGATGACTGAGAGTTGTGGAATGTGCTTGTTCTCCATTCACTTTCTATTTTATCTGCATGCTGAGTGGCATGCCCCTTTTGTTTGTCTCTGACAATGTGTCTCTAGGGATCTCCTGGTATCTCTGTTTTTCTGTGTTTCTTTGTGTCGGTGTCTGACTTACTCACTTTTTCTGTGGGCTTCTCATGATCTCTGTGTCTCTTTCTCCCTTTCCCACCCTTCCTTCTTATCCTTCTCCCCTTTCTCTTTGGGTAGTTCCTATTCTTCAACTAAGGCCGAAGAGTAAATGTGTTGCCATAGAGTGGGGTGTGGGGGAGGAACAACCCATCTGCAGAGTTTTCAGAGTGTTTGTCAAAGTCCTATTGTTTGAGAGTGGTGGAGAATGTCAGCAGAGCCTATAGGGAATGTTTGCCATCTCATGTAAACTCTGTAAACATGAAGCACTGTAAGATGGAGAGACCTGCCTGAGAGACTACACCCCAGTACAGGTCCATAGGCAGTAGGTTGCTGGCTTCTGATGGGACTGGTGAAAGGGCTCTGGAGAGAGTGCTGGAGTACTTGGCAGCTTTTCTATAGGGAATCTGCAGTGCCAGTGAGTCCATCACCCTTGGCAGAAGGAGAGATGCCCTTCAAAGTGCAAATGTCATCTGTAGGGTCCCCATTTCTTTCCTTAACTATAGTTTGCACTTTTGGGCCAAGCTTTGTTCTCCATTTGTCCTATATAATGGGCAAAAGCCAGACAAAGCCAGCCTAATCATCAGTGAGTGACTGTATGGTCACAAAATTTAGGATTACCAGCAGAGCTCCCTATGGGAATCTGTGGTGTGTGTCTCAGCCTATTGACAGTGATAGTCTCTTCTAAGAAGGCCTGAGATGCCCTTGGGACATATTTACTCAAAGTGATGCCCACAGACATTCCCCTCAGAGACACCCCCCTACCACCACTGGGCCAGTGTTGTGGTTGCACTGGCCTTTGTGGTTCTTATTATGATCACAGGGCTCACCTCTGCCAAACCATTATGAAACTTAAGAAAAGATTTGCTCACAAGCCCTGGAGGGAGCATGGAAAGGCAGAGAGCCACATACAAAAGGCTGTGGACAGAGAGAGGGGGAGAAAGTGCATACTTTGGGGCTCTCCCTTTATTTGGGTCCAAGTGTAGAATGTCTAAGGTTTCATGAGTTCACTTTCTATTGGTGAATTTAAAAGTGGGAATTAGGGTGCGGGAAGGGAGAAGCAGGGTCACTCCAGTGATTAGTTATCTGGGTTGCTCGAGGCCTTTCTAAAAGGAGAACTTCATTGGTGAGAGCAGCTGTTTCCTTATCCTAATTGTGTTGTTAGTGTCTGTGTTATATAGCAGGGGGTGTATCTATATGACATGGATGTTTGAAATGGATGCCTCAGCACTCAAAAGTTTAATGTCAATGTCAGGCATTTACATTACAGTGAAAAAGCTGAATATCAGGCATTTACATTACAAATTCCCATCCCACCAGTCAGGAGTCAGGTGAACCCCATGATGGGACCAGGGAATAAATTTCTAATAAACAACCAAGATGTCTTGAGTGGTGCTTTTCCACTTATTCTGTGTCCTTCCCAAACTCAGTCCAGGAGAGAACACAAAGCTGATCCCCGTGGGTGGAAGGACTCTGAGGGCGCAAGTCCTATTTCCTCATCGTACACATAGGGGTCATAAGGCTCAGAAGAGTGCAGATGCTGACTCAATGTCACCAAGTGAGTGAGTGTCAGAGATAAAGGTAAAAGAGAATGGAGTGTCTGTGTAATTGTCAGAGGTCACTATGGAATATTGTGATATTAGTATGGTTATAATATCTTACTATGGAGTTGAAGGTAGCGAGGAATAGTGCATACAAGGAGATGAAGGTGATGTCTATAGTAGGGACAGAGGCTAAAGATCCCCCAGAGTCTATAAATGCTCAAATGGTTCCCAGGGCCCACACTCAGTTTTCTTGAGTGTAAATGAAAACTCAGAATTTCTGGTTCTTCTATCTCTTCTGTCTTGCTTAATTTCCAGCCTCACCCTTGGGTCTCACTTTCCAAGCAAGTGAGATGAAATTTATGCCTTTGGGGCCTAGGATGAATGGCATTTTGGACCCCTTTCCTCACCCAATTTCTTTTTCTTTTAATTTAATCTTATTTTTTCAGCGTTCCAAGATTCATTGTTTATGCACCACACCCAGTGCTCCATGCAATATGTGCCCTCCTTAATGCCCACCACCAGGCTCACCTAACCCCCTACCTCCATCCCCTCCGGAATGCTCAGTTTGTTTCTCAAAGAACACTTCCTCATGGTTCGTCTCCGCCTCTGATTTCCCCCAATTCACTTTTCCTTTCATTCTCCTACTATCCTCCATGTTACTCCTTATGCTCCACAAGTAAGTGAAACCATATGATAATTAACTCTCCCTGCTTGACTTATTTCACTTAGCATAATCTCCAGGCCCATCCATGTTGATATAAAAGTTAGGTATTCATCATTTCTGATGGAGGCTTAATATTCTGTACTATATATGGACCATATCTTCTTCATCCATTCATCCGTTGAAGGGCATCTTGGTTCTTTCCACAGTCTGGCGACTGTGGCCATTGTGCTATGAACATTGGGGTACATATGGCCCTTCTTTTCATTACATCTGTATCTTTGGGGTAAATACCCAGTAGTACAATTGCAGAGTCATAAGGTAGCTCTATTTTTAATTTCTTCAGGAATCTCCACACTGGTTTCCAACATGGCTGCACCAATTTGCATTCCCACCAACAGTGTAAGAGGGTTCCCCTTTCTCCACATCCTCTCCAACACTCGTTCAGACACATGAAAAAATATTCATCGTCATTAGCTATCAGGGAGATTCAAATCAAAACCACACTGATACCACCTTACACAGTTAGAATGGCCAACATTAACAAGACGGTGAATAATCCTTTAAATACACCAATTGGAGCCTGTTGGTTAGTATTTTAGTGAGTCTTTTGGCATCGAAGTTCATCAGGAATACTGGTCTAGAATTCTCCTTTTTGATGGGATCTTTGTCTGGTTTTGGAAAACAGTAGTGTTCATAGAACAAGTCTGGAACTTTTCCTTCCATTTCTTTTTTTTTTTTTTACAGTGTAGTACTGTAAATATATTTTCTTTATGGTTTTCTTTTTTTTTTTAATTAATTTCTTTTCTTTGTGACAGAATTCATTGTTTATGCACCACACCCAATGCTCCATGCCATACGTGCCCTCCATAATACCCACCACCTGGTTCCCCCAACCTCCCACCCACCCTTCAAAACCCTCAGATTGTTTTCAGAGTCCATAGCCTCTCATGGTTCACCTCCCCTTCCAATTTCCCTCATCTCCCTTCTCCTCTCCATCTCCCTATGTCCTCCTTGTTATTTGTTGTGCTACAAAAATAAGTGAAACCATATGATAATTAACTCTCTCTGCTTGACTTATTGCACTCAGCATAATCTCTTCCAGTCCCATCCATGTTGCTACAAAAGTTGGATATTCATTCTTTCTGATGGAGGCATAATACTCCATAGTGTATATGGACCACATCTTCCTTATCCATTCGTCCGTTGAAGGGCATCTTGGTTCTTTCCACAGTTCAGCAACCGTGGCCATTGCTGCTATAAACATTGGGGTACAGATGGCCCTTCTTTTCACTACATCTGTATCTTTGGGGTAAATAGCCAGTAGTGCAATTGCCGGGTCATAGGGAGGCTCTATTTTTAATTTCTTGAGGAATCTCCACACTGTTTTCCAAATTGGCTGCACCAACTTGCATTCCCACCAACAGAGTAGTTTTTGAAACAGCTTCAGTAGAATAGGTATTATTTCTTCTTTAAATATTTGATATAATTCCCCTATGAAGCCACCTGGTCCCGGACTCTTGCTTTTTGGAAAGTTTTTTTGTTTTGTTTTGTTTTAAAGGTTTTATTTATTTATTTGAGAAAGGGAAGAATGATAATGAGAGAGCGCTCGAGCTCATGGGAGAGGGAGAAGCAGGCTCCCCTTTGAGCAGGAGGCCCAACATGGGGCTTGATTCTAGGACCCTGGGGTCATGACTTAAGTTGAAGGCAGAAGCTTAGCTGATTGAGCTACCCAGGTGCCCCTGGGAGGTTTTTGATTACTGCTTCAATTTCTTTGTTGGGTGTTGGTCTGTTCAGACTTTCTATTTCTTTCTATTTCAGTTTTGGTCGTTATAAGTTTCCAGGAATGCATCCATTTCTTCCAGATTGCCTAATTTGTTGGAATGTAGTTGCCAAAGTATGTTCTTAAATTTCTTTGCTGTTGGTCATGATTTCTCCCCTTTCATTCATAATTTATTAATTTGGGTTCTCTCTCTCTCTCTCTTTTGGATATATCTAGCTAGAGGTTTATTGATCTTATTAATTCTTTCAATGAACCAGCTTCTAGTTTCGTTGATCTGTTCTACTGTTCTTCTGGTTTCCATTACATTGGTTTCTGCTCTAACCTTTATATTTCTCTTCTCCTGCTTGGTTTAGGCTTTATTTGCTGGTCTCTTTTCAACTCCTTTAGCTATAAATTTAGCTTGTGTATTTGAGATTTTTGTACTTTTTTGAGAGAGGCTTGTATTGCAATGTACTTCCCTCTTAGGACCACCTTCGCTGTATCCCAAAGGCTTTGAACAGATGTGTTTTCATTCTCATTAATTTCCATGAACTTTTAAAATTCTTCTTT